TTAATACTTCTCTCAGTGTTTCTATTCATGAAAGAATCTGTGCAACACCACTGAAATGTCCAATACTGTTATTTCTATCAAGGAATTTAATAATTACATCTGATAATTTTACAAAAACAACAAAATAAACTAGATCTTTTTTTCTTTTATTTTATTCAACAAGACCTTCCAGATGTTACCAACACTGGGGAACAAAGGAGGACTTTACTTACTATAGACATTTTTTTACATTATGTTTTTATATGTTTCCATACTTTCTCTCTGCTGTGTGTGAACACATTGTGCAGTTCAGCAAAGTTCAGCTGAGAGTTTTCTGAATATTCGTCGCACATCTGTTGCTACCAGCCGGGTCACTAATGACTTTACTGATGCTGCAAGAAACACTGATTTTTTCTTTTTTCACAGAATCTGATTAGAGCAAGCAGTTTGTTTTTGGCGTGTAGATTTGTGGAATTAAGTGATTTTTGTGAATTCTCAAATCTCAGGAACTGAAGGTCAAACATAATGAGTTCAAGAACAGTTAGAAGATTTAAACTCCTCTAATTCTTGTTGTTTTTAAGGTTTCTGGTTGATTAAAAATATCATTTTTGAGCTTTGAGTTGTTTTTTTAAGACATCAGGCCTTCAGAGAGTGATTTTTTTTTCCCCTGTCTCTGTACACTTGTGCAGCTCGACTCTCTGGAGCGCAACGAGACGGAGCTGAACACCATCTTGGAGAAGAAACTTGCCCACCAGCTCCGCGACGTGACCGAGGCCACCGCCCGCCTCTACGGCAACGACCTGCAGATAGCCCAGCGGCTGCTGTCCCGCCTCCTCACTTTCGAGACCCAACAGAGCGGCTTCGGACTCACCGCCACTCAGGACGCACACTTCAACGAGGTAAAAAGAACACAGCCGCATGTTGGATCCTTAACAAACACAAGCCGAGACGATAAGATTGATGGGAAACTCCCACACCATCAGGAGTGTGATGGAGATGTTAATAATTGACTGCTGCTTGTGATTCTTTGCCAGGTTGTTGAATATAGGTGTAGTTAAAGTGAACTTTTAAGAGTTAAAAATGATCGAAATGTCTCATTAAATGCTGGCAAAAGGTGAATCGAAGTGATGCTTAAAATACAGATAATGTAAAAGTTGTGAGGGGCCGGTGGAAGGACGCGCTGGGGGAGGTGTGAACGCCAATAATCAGTTTGCGATGTTAATTTTCTGATGTGTGAAAATATAAACATGTTATGAAACAGCTCGGTTTGTTGGCAGACTTTATTGGAATTTGTCGATTTAGACGAGCGTTACTCAACATTTTGGAAAGTACGGATCAGGAACAGCACCTCTGACGGCTTTAAACTTTGAGTTTTAATACTGAACCATCACGATTTATTATACACCGCTTTAATATAATATAATATTATGACATTAAAGTTTAAATTTTAAGGAATCCTCCAGGTCTCCTCTCTGCCAGAAGCTACAAATAGCTATTTTAAAGCAGCCCATATGATTGATACCCTGTCCCATTATGGGGTGTGGGCCCAGTCAGGAGACATCACAACGAGGTGTCTTCTCTCTGAAACTGGAGGTAACGTTGCTATGGCGATGCAGCGACAGTAGCTCAGGAAATATTGCCGCGTGTCATCTCTGCATATTAACTGACAGGATCTCGTTTCACCTGACTCGAGGACTCGGGATCGTTTTAGAGCGACGACGCTTCGACGTAAAGGCGCCGACAGACGTCTGTGTTTTATTTTGCTGTAAATATTTGGCATCATATTTGGCTGACAAGGAACGAGCAGCCCGTATGTCACGGGTAAGTGGCCGAAGAATGAAGGGAAAACCGTCTTGCGGTTTCAATTTACAGGCTTGTGTGTCAAATTGCCCGTTGCTACGGTAACAGTAATATGAATTTGACACCCCACCTGTTCATTAGACTATATATATGTTTTTCATTCATTATTTTTGTTATTTTTCTGATTATAATTTTAGTTGGACCAATGGTTCTGCCTGTCATTGAAACACATTACAATCACAGCATATTATCGTTTACTACACTGTAAAAAGGAAATAATAGAATCTCCTTGTTTAATTTTACACATTTGTTTCAGTGTTTTTGAACAGAAGCACAGATATCAGTAAAGTTACAAAAGCTGACTGTGACACGTCTAATTTAACCAACAAACAGTTAAAGCAACAGTTTGCATCAGTGTTTTTGAGTTTTAACAACTTGTGATGAAATTCTGTTCAACCAACAAACCACATTAAGTCAGTGGAATTATGCTTTTCTCTACAATCAAAGGTATTTTTATTTTCCTTTCTTAGCCACCTGCAGTTTTCCTCGTATGTTAAAGTAGAGAAGGGGACGTCTAATTTAAGATTAAAAGTACGATTAAAAATTTGTAACTACAAATAACCCTGAAATTGACGGTTGTTAAACAGTTATTTTTTTAAAATGTTTTTTTCAATTTGTTTTAAAGAAAATTCCATTTTTTGACAACATCGTTCAAATACATTCACATATGTATTGTAACTTCACTAATTTTTTTCTTTTTATTTAATAGATGAAGCTGATAAACATAAATTTATTACAGTAAATATATCTCATAAATCACTTACAACCACCGATAACACTGGTCTACACCCATTTGGGTGTCAAAGTTTTTTGAGCTGATTTTGGACAATTGCAATCTGCTGAATCCAAATATTACAAATCAATCAAAATCAAAATCTGATTTGATCAAACCTGCAATTTACTTGTATTTACCTTTACAAATGTTTACGCTCATCAACTTGTGGATCGTTTAGCTTATGGAAAGGATTAGAAAATGAAATTTTTCCTCTAAAATATAATTTCATATGAGAAATACTAAAATAAATCAATCGTTAATGTCAAAAGATGTAATGGATTTAGTGGCAAAATCGATTTTTAAAAATCAAGTTGGCGTAAAAACCTGACCTGATATAGAAAAGCAGACATCATTTTTGGATTCAGCGTTGCAAAAATGTCCTAAATCAGTCCTAGACAACTATTTTTTTTGTAACCCAGTGTAATTTGTGTAATTAATAGTTTATTAAATGAGAGATATCTTGTATAATTAAACATCAAAATGCCAAAAATATACATGATCCAATATCAAATTAAGGCTTTAAAAAATATATCTTTTCACATGGCATATAGTATCACAGCAGTTTGGCTCCACAGCTGTAAGAACATTCCAGTTTTTTGTCCTCTTCAGTGCAGCAGTGCTGTCAGCAGTAATGACAATAATAGCAGCACTTGGTGAAGTAATTGAGGTACAGTATGATGCTGTATTTCTGTCAGAAATTGGGGATTATCACGGCTATGAATAGTAATCTCACACTACCTGACATTTTGGCTCTTTAATCTTTTGCTGATTAGTTGGTTCTGGCCTGCTCATGCAGCCGGGGGCTGATTTATTCGTATTAATTAGAGGCCATCGTGGGTAATAAAAAAAAAAAAGCAGCATATTTTCTCCAGCATCTACAGCAGATACACGGAGGCAGTTAATAATTTATAGTAACAGCGAGGACTTTAGCCACCTGATGACAGCGGCGGCAGCAGCAGCAGCCACACCCTGCAGTGCTGGAGCGGACCGAGAACCAACAGAAGTCGCTGCAAGAGATGCATGCACACAATTTTATTACAAAACTCCCAGCATGGTGCCGCTGACGTTTAATGTGTTTCTCTGGTGATTCTGCATAAGAAATAAGAGCTGCTTCTAGTTTCTAGGTGCATCATGATGTTACAACTTAGCTGTAAATTTTATAGCTAAATGGGCAAAGAGCGTCCAACAAAATTAGAATCACATTTATCACGTTTAACTCCCAGATATCCGCTAATTAAACGCCGACACACTTGTTCCATCGAGCCGCTGTGTTTTATAAAAAGTCCTCTTAAATCAACGTGATCATTTTGCTTTCACGGTGTGATCAATACATTTTTTTTTTCTTCTTTTTTGCCTGACAAGCACAGTTGCTATGGCAACCCAGCGGCAGCATTAATGATGTCCGATAATGAGTGAAATAACAACCTTTTCCTGCCGCCTGACATTTCATTCAAGCCGACAGTCAGTCAAAAAGGCGGCCATTACGCTTTAACCAGTTGGTGCGTGGCGTCATAAAGGCGCTATATGCTGCCACAGTAGCACAATAATGATTTTGCCGTAACCAAAAAAGAAAAAAAAAACTCGACTCAGCCCTGACTTGTAACCTCAACCTGTGGCTGTAAAGCAGTCACGCCGCCCACATCTTGTCAGTCGGAGGTAATGAGGTGGCTCCTGGTTCAGGGTGGCGTCGCTGTAGTGTAGCTACAGATAGTGGGAAATTCATATCTGATAATGCTTGACACCTCACTTTAAACAGCAGCTATTAGGCCCAGACGAGCAGCTAATACAGAACACAGTTACTATAGTAACCCGGCGGCGGCGGCGGCGGCAACAGAGCCCCGTGGCTGCAGGAGAAACAAAGGCAGGCGGGAGAGGAAGGTGGAGGTTTAACGTCAGGAATGTGGAGGTGAGACGGAAGGAGATGGAAAAGCTTCGTGTTCACGCTGATCCATCTGGAGGCCGACGCGCTGCTGGGAGACGGATAGAGCTCGCATGTCGTCTGGAACACGGGACATTTACATGTGCCAGATGTTTCAGAGCCAGGGAGAGAAGTTCAGACATTATACCTGCTAATTTTATCGTGTCTTTTGTGTACATCTGCTAAATTTAAACTCAGATCTATTACGCTGAACGTCCTGTGAGTGCTATAAATGTAAGCAGTCTAACCTCCAGCACTGAACAAAAGAGAAAAACAACCAAAAGACAGTTGGTTTTGTGTATTCAACAGGTGAAAGTAGCAACCAGGAGGTCTGTCAAGGTGTTGCTGACACTGTGAACAATGTGCCACAGCAGTAAATCCAACCAAGCTGTGGTGTTGTAAGAACATTTAATACGCCCCTGTGGCTGTGCACCGCCTTTCTCTGCCTTGCATTGCCTCTGCAGCAGAAAGAAAACAAAGAAGTGTTGGCTGTTGGGTTGACAGGATACCATTTTGTTGCCAGAATGATCCAAGTGAAAAAAAAAACAAGAGCCGGTCTGTATGGCAGGGTGAATCGATCACGTCTTTACTCAGAGTTCACCACTCTGACACGTGTCTGTGTGGTTCTTCTGTAAAATTAGAAGATAAGATGAGTGGGGAAGATACAGCAGCAGGTGGAGGTCGTGCAAACATGTAGGGAACATTAGTAGGAAATAAAAATAAGCAAAAATATGCACACTGATTCTTCTATCTGTGGGTATGCACACAGTGGCACAGGACATACCAGTGGTATTGCACTGACCATGAGTAGAAACACTGACATAATGTAAGAAATACTAGATATGAATCAGAACAAATGTACTAGCAAGTTTTTTATATCCATAAATCTACTCACAAAACTGAATTCCTTTGTTTTAAAGCTACTGAACCATGTTCTAGACGTTAAAATCTAAATAAATAAGACAACAATAGGCCAAACAAACTGTCTTGTAGTATGGCACCTTAACATTTCATATGAAAATGTACATAATATGTACCTTTTACACTCGATATGGAGTCTTTTTAAACTTAAAAAATGTTTGTGCTCAACAAAAAACAATTAAAGCAACAGTTTGCATCAGTGTTTTTCAGTTTTAACAACTTCTAATGAAATTATGTTGAACAAACTAGAAGTGGAATTAACTTTTCCTGCAACCCCCTGCAATTGTCCAGTTGTGTTAAGATCATGGAATGAGACTCGTGTTCTAATTCTGAACTAAATGTGAAGAAAAATGAAGTTACTGAGCCGATCTCATTAAGTTGCATCAAGTTAAATTTTGTTTTAAATCAACTAACGCAGAAATTTG